GAGACTCCCTTTTTACAAGGAGTCACATGGAAAAGATGAGGGGTAATGGGTACAAGTTACTCCCAGGGAGATTCCGATTGGACACAAGAGGAAAATTTTTCGCAATGAGAACAATCAGCCATTGGAATAATCTCCCCAGGGAAGCAGTGGATTCCCCAACATTGGACACTTTTAAGACTCGGCTGGACAGGATGCTGGGCCAGCATCCTGTCACATGATGTCACAGCCAGCACGGTTGTCTAGACCGTGCTTTTGCCAAGAAAGGTCAGACCAGATGATCCTTGAGGTCCCTTCCAACCTGGTATTCTATGATTCTATGAAAATTGTTCCCAGTAGAAGTATTACAAAGTAGTTCAGTTTTGAGGCTCCCAGTGAACAGTACCAGTATTGCACTTCTGGTACTTGAGACCTCAAAAGCATGAATTCCTTTAAGAAATACTGGTTGACTGGTTCAAAGTAGCCAACTTCTCACAGTTGCTTCAACGTGACATACCTGGGTTAAGGAGGCTGCTCTAAAAGATACGTAAACTCCTGAAACCCATCCTTCAAAAATGTATGACTGATTTTTCTTGTTAGGTCACAATATTATTCAGCCAAGTAAAACTAGAAAATGCCAACATTACAAATATAATCATACGTTAAGTCCACTACGAGTATTTTTCTAGTTATTTACACAAAATGAAGTAAAAATCATTCTTTGCAAAAACCTAACTAGCTTAAAACATTTACCTCTCTAACACTAACAGAGCTAGCACTTTTCATATATTTGGAGATTAATGGGTAATTCGGCCTTTTGGTACTCGTTTTATAACATGACTGCCTGTACTTTGAAACAAAACAAATTAAATTTAAATTTCTAAGTTATATCTTTGGCATACTTGCAGTAGTTCAAAGCATTGATCAACTGCTCAGATACTTATTACTTAAAAACAAACAAACAAAAAAACCACAACAGCAGCAACATCCACTTTTATCTCATACTGAAAGGTACTTGCAAAAGAGAAAATACTTCTTAGGCTCTTACAGTACCACCAATAGTGGTCACCACCTGTCCCAGACTTTAGAAAAGTAAGTGTCCTTTAAGGCATCAGGAGTTTATAATTTGATTAACTCTAATTTGATTTTTCAGAGTTCTTGACTCCTAAGTACTTGTAAATGAGCCTACAGGATTAAATTTAAGGATCTATTTTTATTTAAACTTTGACTTAGCTCAAGTTCGGTATTTGCTTTTTTTTCCTCCTCTCAAAAATATGAAAACATTTGAAAGCTAAATCTTTTCATCAAAACATTAAGACTTTTTGAGGAGAACATGTTACTATATTACACAAAGGTCCCATTTATATTTTAAATTTCACTTCTTTCCTCACAAGGAGGAAAGAATCAAAATTTGCAAGTGACTGTAGAAGCTTCTCCAGAAATTCAAGGCAGTCTTTCTGAAATGTGTACGTATGATGAAAGGCCAACGTTCAATTAGAGTTGAAACTGGCCAGTGCTGTATCTGACAACAAGAAAGGCTTTGTTAAGTACATTAATAGCAAAAGGAGGTCTAAAGAAAACCT